ATAGTATGTAATCGTTAAACTTTGAAAATTTACCATTATAGTATGTAATCGTTAAACTTTGAACATTTTCTATTAGTCTATTATGGTTTGTAATCGTTAAACAATATTTGTAASCATTATTATATATAATTTGTATTCTTGCTTATTTATTTAGTGTTTTGGCAACGTTTTATTTTTTATTTCTAAATAACAAAATTTTAATTATTTAAGAAGCGGGTACCCGCAACCGGAACCGGTTCCCGGCGGTTCCGGTTCCGGTTCCAAAAATTTAAGAACCGCTCTAACCGGTTCCGGTTCCGGTTCCAATATCTCAAGAACCGCCGGTTCCGGTTCCGATTCCGGTTCCTGTCAAAAAGGGCAGGTACCCGCCTATGCTCACCCCTAGATATGTTAACGATCTCCAAAGGCAACAAAACTTTAATGTTATTCATGATTTTTTTAAGTAATTTGATTAATTGGTGAAAAATATATATATATATATATATATATATATTATTATTATTTTAATCCTAAGAATATAAGTCCGTTATTGCTTGGATATATCATTAAAAACTTACAAGTACAAGAGTAAACTACAAATTTGGTCCATGTGGTTCATTGTTTGTAACACTTTTGGTCCCTACAATCTTGAAATTGCAATTTTGCCGTTGTGGTATGTAAACACGATCGGATTTGTTCTTTTTGTCTAATTGCCGTTAATTAATGTCGTTAGACAAGGGGTATTTCAGACTTTTGTCATTTTTCTCTATTTTTTCTTTACAAAAGTAAATTTTAATTCATACACACACAAAAACATGCAAAGTCCCTCCTAAACCTCTGATGAGCAATACCACCACCGATGAAACAAACCTTCGATGAACAATACCACCACTGATGAGTCTTTCCTTCCGTCTAAAATCATCCTCCTCATGTAACCATCCGTCTGCAACTCGTCGACGTCTCCTCTTGCAACCATCTCGTCGACGTCTCCTCTTGCACTTGTGCACCTACAACCTGTAATCGTCTCCTCCTGCAATCGTTCACCTGCAACCTGTAATTGTCTCCTTCTGACCATCCTCCTCCTACAAGGTGGAACTCCTCCCAAACACACAACTTATTTACAACACCACCCTCCCTGGCATTGTCTCCTCTTATACCTACTCTTTCCAGGATAACCCACCGTAGTCTCCGATGGTTCTTGCAGTTTCATGGGGTTTTCAAGTTCTAGGTTTTCTTTTGAGTGATCTTCATCCAATAGTTATGAGAAGCAACCAAGTCTTTTGATTGGGTGTTTTGATACTCTAGTTGCATTCTTTATCACCCTCGAAGTTATCCCATATTGGGCTTCTGAATTTGGGTTTAAATTTTTACACGGATATGGAACTGATGGTAGTAGGAAAAAAGGAGAAGGTAGGTTTAGGGCATTGATTTTCAATTTTTGGGTTTTAATATGGAACTGATGGGTTTTTGATTTTGGGTTTTGGTGTTTGGTGTTTTGGATTTGGATTGAAGTTTTATTTTGATATTTGGATTTGGCCAGAGAAGATAGTCGGAGAGGGCAGTTGACCATGAATTGATCGGAGTGGTTGTAGGAAAGGGGAAGCGGGAAAGGGGTTTTTTGTTTGGATTTTGGATTCAAATTTGGTTTTAATTTTGGATTTGGTTTCAAATTTTGGTTTGAATCGTAGTGTATAAAACACGAGTTGGTTTCAAATTTGTAGGATTTAGTTTCTCTCTCTTCGCCCAGGAAGATGGTCGTTGACAGTGAAGTTCACCCGTGAGATAATCTAAATGTGCATATGTATACTAGTAAAGGGGGAGACTTGCCATTATCTAATAGGATGTCTATGTAAAGTTCCTTTAATTTTTAGTAGAAAGTAAAATGAAATCTACAAAGACTAAAATCTCCCTAATCTAACGGATTTTTTTAACGTTCATTACAAAGAGGGACCAAATCCAGTCGTTTTTTCATATTATAATAGCGAAACTGTAATTTCAAAATTGTAAGGACTAAAAGTGTTACAAACAATGAACTAGAGAGACCAAATTTGTAGTTTACTCCAACTACAATAATATGCAAAAGTTACAAAGCTTTTCAACAAAACTAAACAAATATTGTTATATAATTATATATGTTGATAAAAGTATATTATAGACTTGTGATCATGTGAGACCAGCCTGTTTTCGTGAGACCCGTGAGACCACCGTTTTACACTTGAAACTTCACAGCAAAATGTTGTGAATGTTCGACTTTTTTTAACCTTCACAGTGTTTTTGTTGTGAAGTTTCAAGTGTAAAAATGTGGTCTCATGGGTCTCACGAAAACAGATTGGTATCACGTGAACCCAACCCGTATATTATATATTTATATATATATTTTATTTATACATGTTATAAAAAATATAAATATAGATATCGTCATTTATTTTGGCTCATTTCTATACGAAAGGTACATATTTTTTTTTTTGTGAAAACACAGCAAAAAGTGGAAGTGAGGAAAACCATATATGTTGTAGTAGTCACTAGATCTGTTCAAGAAAATGACATTTTAATTTAACATATATTTTTATTAATATATTTTGATTTATTAATTAAATATTTAAATAAATATGTCTTGTAAACTATAAAACTATATAAAATAAAATAACATTTACCAACCAAATGACTTTTGGTCCAGCAGTATGTGAGTCTTTGGCCTCCTAGAAGGTCAAGAGTTCAAACTTCACTAAATATGAGAAGGATGTGTAAATTTATTTGTTTTGTTTGCCGTATATAAATACTATATATTTAAAAAAAAATAACATTTACCAAAATCATAGATATGAATAATATGATGATAGAGTGAATCACATAAAGTGTCCTTGGATCAAATTAACCTTAGTGTTCCACACGTTGTTATATATTAAAGCTTAAACTCACAAACTAAACCTATCTTGTATTACTAAGGGTTGTTTAGCAATTGCTGAATGATTTGGTGCAGAATGATTAAGTGGTCAGAATGATTAAAATGCTCTAATGATATAGTGCAAAATAAAAAATATAATTGTTTGGTAATTGTGTACAATGAAATTAGAGCTCTTAATGGTTAAGAGAGATTCATGATACAAAATCATTCAGAGGGTTTTAGAAGAAATTAAAAGGCAGACTTTTTTTCTTTGCCAAACAAGACTCACCTCTTAATGATTCAGATGTTGCCTCTTAATGGAACTATTAAGAGGTAAACAAACAACCCCTTAAGAAACAAACTAAACCGCTAATTAGCCCCTTTATGATCCATGTTTCCTTGCTGAAGTAGTGTGGAGCAATTGCATGTTCGAGTGCTAGCTGTGGGTAGGTTTGCGTATTTAATTAGGTATATAAATCTAAGATGTTTATATCTGATTTTTTATTATGTTTGGTAACAAATGTCTTTCTACATGGTCCTTATAACCAAAACACATTATATCAAATATCATTCGAATATTATACAATAACTGCTCATATATATATATATATATATATATATATATATATATATATTCTCCTAATCATTTATGAAAAAAAACATATGAAACAAATCAAGCTTATCGATATTTAATTCAAATTAGGTTCTTTAAATAACAATAATTTAACGCAATTCCAGAAATATTATTATTTTTTAGATAAAAAATAAATCATTCCTATTTGCACACTTAAGAGGGGTGTAATTACCTTTGTAATTTGAACCCTATGGATGTAATTAGCAAATTATGGGGTACAATTAACCTTCTACAAGATAATTATTTAACCAAAAACATCCAATTAATTAAATTAAAATTAGGGTTTTTTGTATTTATTGTTAAATAAACATAATTAAAAAGTGGAGACAAAAGAAAAGTGGTTTTATCTACCCCCACCCCGACAATCTCATACAAACTGTTTTGTCACCATCATCATTACTAACATATGGTAATTGTATGAAATATACATCATTTATTCTAATTTCGTATAGCATTTTCCTCAAAATCAACGTTACTCTGATGATTGGTTCATTGTTTTTTATATGTAAGGTCATGTATTCAAGTCTGTTATTATAAGTTTTTTTTAGACACATAATAAATTTGAAATAAAAAGTTAAAAACTAAGAAAATGATACCAATAGGACTCAGACTCGGGTCTAGAGCGTAAGAAAAACCTTGCAAACCAACTTTACCAAGAAAAACTTGTCATCATTGTAGTTTCAAAATATATATAATGACACACAACGAATTAATACGGTGATACCTTGCATAATCTTATAATTTTTTATAGTAGACGAAAGAACGAAACGATAACCCGTGCCGGTGCAATTGATCTGTCGTGTTTCATATGATGGGATCAGAACAAATTGGATAGAAAAAGGCTCGTTTCCCAATGCTAAAATATTACTTCAATATTTATTGAGTCGTATTCAAGTATTTAAATAATATAATATTATATATTATTATTTTATCTTTTTGAAATTTATCTTATCTAAGAATTTTCGAGCTGTTTAATTGTTTTTTAGTAAAGTTCTGTACAAATTAAGGTGTTTACATAAAATATATTATCAGTATGAATTAGGTTAGATTGTTCATGCATAGTCAGATTGTACTTTATGCTACTCCAGATGTACCTTAACCGGTAACCCGAACTCCACCTCATCTCACTTCACCTTCTCCAACCAGACAAGTGTCAACATCCAAATAAAGCATATGATTTAAGATATATTTATACATAACGGTAAAATATAATTTTACACATAAAGATACATTTAATTAAAAAAAATTAAATCCATAATCTTATTGTATTAAGATCATGTTGATATATATTTATCCAACAATTAAAATCGACTAAAACGATCATTTCTTGTTGTTTTTGTGCACCAATTTGGGTCAATCTAATTCGTTTGTATGTTACATCATATAAACAAATTAAAACGGTATGAAACGATGATTGATATTGATATCTTTATGAGAAGGGTTTTCTAATTAAAAAGGGTAAACGAGAACCCAAAAAACACACGAAAACACACTTAATAATTCCACAATATAGGCTCAAAGTCATTGGAAGCCGCATTCTTCTGACCGGAAACATGCCCACCGTCGTCATCTGCGCCATTATGCATCCATTGTGGTGGGTACAACCACCCATCCACCACCGAGTCGATGTATATGAACTCATTACTTGACTCGGCCGAGTCAACACTCGGCCCAAGAATCGGAAGCTCTGTAATCTCACTCAGCTCCTCTGACGACACTGTGGACGGTGCCGGCGGAAAGTCAAACTTGTCCATAGCAGCTGCTTTGGCTGCAGCAGCTTGTACATCTCTCGGGGACGACGAAACCGGTCTGGGCAACGATCCAACGAGATCGGGGAAATTGATGATAGCCGAGTTACCCTTGATGCTAAGCGCTGCGACGTCGTGTGCACGGGCGGCCATTTCAGGGTTCCGGTATGTCCCAAGCCATATCCTTGATTTCTTTCGCGGCTCACGGATTTCAGAGACCCATTTGCCCCAGTTACGCATTCGGACGCCACGGTAGACTGGGTGCTTGGTGCTGGTGTCTCGGCTTCTTTTGATGGTTGCTGATCTGGTTTTAGGGTTTTGTGGTTGAGTTGTTGACCCTGGTGAAGAAGATGGCGAAGTGAAAGAGTTAGAACTGCAATCATCAGGTTCAGAAGTGATCATTCTGACTGACTCAACTGATGATTGGATCTTGATAAGTGCATATATAGATGTATTTGAAGTAGGAGTGTGGTTTCGTTGGATTGTTGTTAGAAAGCAGAATGGAGAAATAAAGTTGCGGAGCGTGTAGAAGATGAAGCAATGAGTTTTACCCTCATTCAGCCATCTTTGTAACGAGTGATACACACTTATAACAACATCATGAGAGATGGGTAACCTGATGGAGCAAGAGAGACAAGACAAGCTTTGGTACAAATGGGGTCCTTTTCTTCAAGTACCACGTAAACTAGAGAGGAAAAAAAAATCTTGTTTCTCTGGTCTAAAAGTAGTACCTCCACTTTCACTTTACCCTCTTTCTTTCCATATCTCCTTTTCAACAATTTTACATCAAATTCAACAAGTTCTATACACACACATATATATATATATATATATATATATGTATATATATATATATATATATATAATGTCATAGTTTATCAATGGTATGATCAAAACTTTATTGTATAAAACTTGTAATGTTTTGTGATGTCACTCCGTCACCGAAGAGCACTTTTAGCGTAAACTCCTTGATGTCGCTATATATGCATCATGATTAAAAGAGACATTTCGTGTCGTGAATTAAATACCCTTTTCATTTCACCTTCTTTTATCACATGATTTTTTTTATATTCGACCTCCCTTCCGTTGATACGAGTTCAGTAATCAATAGTTTATCATAATAATGGCTTAACCATTGAAACTAATCTTGCTAATTTGGTAGATGATTGAGTAATTGAAATTGTTGATGATGAATACAAAGTACTACTGGATCTGATGTGGTCTAAAATAAAAGGATTTACAACGAATGGATGCTACAGATTGAGTCCCTACTTGAAGCTACAAAACAACGTAAGGATTTGAGTAATAAGATGGTCCATTCCATTGACAAAACTGACACTTCCTCCTAATTTGGAAAAAAAAAGTGAACGTTTGCATTAATTACTTCTTTTAGCATCATTCTTGTTATTATTTTTTCTATTTTCTAATTAAAAAGCTTATGAATTCCTTCAACAATCCTTTTGAAAGGCAATGAACAAAAACAACACACATATCCTAATAATTTAATGGTCTAAAGTTGTATGGTGATAATTTTATGATTATTGTGAAGTTTCGTGGCAAATTTGTGATTATGAATGTTTAGATTGTAGATCTAATCAAATGGTTGAGAATTAGTCTTACGGGTCTCACGAAAAACAATTGATCTCACATAGGGGCCTAATCAAATGAGAACTAATTAGTTTGTGGTAACTGTGAGAATCAATATTAACCACAAATCAATTGATAAATTAGAAAATTTATAATTTTGGCAAGG